GTGTTTGAAAATTGGTAGAACGCAAAAATCCTTGGTCCAGTGGTTTTCATCCTTGAGGTCCCAAGACCAAAAACAATCCGTGAACAGCGGGCTCTGACGTGCACCAACGCTTGCATTAGAATGTGTCGAGTCGCCACAGTGGGCCAGAAGACTGGCTGAGGCGGCCAAAACTCTAAACGCGTTTTGAGCTCCAAAGTTGCTAAACAGGACTCGAACCGCGCATGTGACCCCACCAATCCTTGTTCGCACAGTAAATGTCTTACGGTGAATGCTGCACCAACATATTATGGTGGAGATTTTCTCTATAATACCAACGAAATTCATCAAAATATCTATAAGGTACAGTGAATTTTCAATGGTATGTTACGAAGTCAGCCGCACCACCATGATATGGAACATTTCCACCATAATATGGAGAATCTTCACTGTAGAACACTAGGGGTACGCGCCGTTTAGTGTGGGCGCGTAGTGTGGCTGAGCGATGCGAATTGACATAGTTTGTGCACTTCGGACCTTGCTTGAGTTGACGCAATGCGTATTATAGGCTCACATTGAGTGAAATTTAGGCCTGGGATACAAATGGAAGTGATTTTCGTTGTTCGATGGGTCCTATTGGAAAAGTGCGATCTCCAAACGACGCGCAAAGAAAGTTCGATCTTCAAAGTCCGGTTTGAAAGAGTTCGATGTGCTTAAATACAGGGAAAGCGAATACATTTTTGAAAGCCTATGTAAACAAAATATATTTTGCTCAGTATCCAGTTGTTAGCTGTATTTGCTAGGAATGGGCCAATGATTTTGACCCAGCAAGCTGTTTCATAACCATGTTTTGACTTCATGCTTTAAAAAACCGTTTTATCAGAGCAACATAACCTCAAATCTGGGCAGTCCCGTGGAGATCGAACTTTCTTAAGCCGGGCATTGGAGATCGAACTTTCTTTGCCCGTCGTTTGGAGATCGCACTGTTTCATTAGGACCCATCGTGTTGTCAGCACACAAAAGACTGCTTGGATATACGTCAAACTCGATTTAAAAAGTTTGGTCCAAAATTGGTCAAAATTCGGTAAAGCATGAGTCTGGGGAAAATTTGGAAGTCATTTTTGAGTTTAGCACACCAAAAACTGCAGGAAACAATATAAAACTCGACTTCAAAATTTTGGCCCAAAATTGCCAAATTTGGGGTGAAAATATGAGTCTGGAGTCGAAATGGAAGTGATTTTCGTTATCAGCACACCAATAACTGCTGGGATCAACACCAAACTCAATCTAAAAATTTTGGTCCAAAATTGGTCAAAATTTGGTTAAGTATGAGTCTGGGAAAAATTTGGACGTCATTTTTGAGTTTAGCACACCAAAAACTGCAGGAAAATATATAAAACTCGACTTCAAAATTTTGGTCCGAAATTACCTTATATGGGATGAAAACATGTCTGATGTTGAAATGGAGGTGATTTTCGTTATCAGCACTCAAAAAAACAGCAAGAACCACCCTCTGTCGTCACCAATTCCCAGATGCCACACCAATGCGAATCCTTCATCGAGCAATATTCAATTGCCAGTATTGAATCGCTAAATTGGCAACTCGTATGCTTGGGTCACTATTCAATATCTCTTTCTTCTAAACTAATGAATTCACAATTTTAATAGAAATATTTAAGAAACATTTTGACATTCTTTTATTTTAAACCAGACAATAAAACAATATTGATTGGAATATATTATCATAGTTAATATGAAGAGACTCAGTTTAGGGTAGGCTGAGGCTGATCTGAACCAGTTTACGGAGACCAACTATTGTCAAATCCAGTGAATCGTCACATAGAGTCCAATGCCAAGGCTACTCAAGGCTTAATGCACTAACATAATTTATCTTACTCATGTCTTGTGCTGTTTTATTTTTTGCAACTTTGGGCTTGAGTTCAAAATAAATTGTAAAGAGAATCAGCTTAAACCATAACAATACTGACTGAGTGCCATTTATTGAATACAAACTTCGGTGAAGCTAAAGGAATCGTCTAATTGAATCCAATAACCAAGTCACTCACCGCTCAAAACCTGAGTCGTCTCATTTAACCTAAAATAAATTCAAACTCTTTAGAACTTATGTCAGCTTGCAGTATTGCAATAGATTGTAATTCTGGAATCAAACCAAAGACAATTTACCAGACTAAGTATGCCTGCTAATTTCAACACTAGTTATTTATGCATTTCCCTGATTTCCTTCAACTATAAATATTTAAAAAAAGATAGGATGACACTAGAGAAAATGAAATAAGTAGATGCACACAATACAAAAGGTCAAAATAAAAACATCCTTTTTGCAATGCTCAGTCAAAGTGCACTGACCTGAAGAAGATTCCCTGACGGGGAAAGGGGGAGAGGGGAACGAAAGACGTAAATCATTATCACTTCCATTCTCCATATTTCGCTGTGTTGATACTCCAAAAGGGTTTTAATCATTCTAGAATGTTGAAAAACTAAGGCCCATCTCATTTCCAAACCCTTCTGCTCTTTATTTTGTTTTATTTGCTTATTTGCGTATGTCCCGTATTTGAGAGCCGTGGCCGCGGGTATGAGAAATTGATAAGTGCTGCCAACCTAACCATGCTAATGACCTGATTCAAAAATATGTTTTGAATATTTGAAACGATACTAAACAACGATTCGAAACAAACTCGTGTTGGGGGGAACTAAGGCGACGTTAAATACGAAATGTAGGAACTATAGCCACTGTAGTTGCTGAGAATCGTTGGTGAGTACAAAGTCACAGACAGACAGACAGACGCACGACCAGTCACTTTTCAGCGCGCCCAAACACGGCAAGGGCTTCGCTATCGCTCAGCCAATTAGAGTGCGGGCGTTCGTTTCGAGCCCCATTTAGCGACTTTGAAGCTCAACATGCGCCTCGAGTTTTGGCCATGTCTACCCTTCTTCTGGCCCACTGTGCGCGTGCTCCTTGGTCTATTAGGCGCCGAAATGGGGTCGAGGAAAAATTTTGTGGGTCGCGGTGGGATGGTTGGCCTAGCTGGGGTCGCGTCCCCTTCGCCGCTGGCCGCCAGGCCGAGCTCTAGGTCTCTAGCCGAGCACTGCCGGGAACATACATTCACGGAAACTGGAATACCCACCGCTTGTTTGTCGTTGCACGGATGCTCGGAAGCCTGCAGGCGCTGTGCGGGAATCTCCTTCTCGGAAAGGTGGGGGGGGGGGGGGGGGGATTAACTCTAGGAGGTAAGCACACACCGTAGCGAGGGACCTGACCTGACTCAACCCTCAGCTGTGGTGAGTGAAGCAGATTGCAAATGGCCGATCTACACTAGGAAAACCTTACGAACTATTTTCGGCCTTACAAAGAGAGTAGCTTGTCATAAAGTATTTTGAGCATACATAAGCTCTAAATAATTCACATTTTACGAACTTTTTCTGTGCATAACAAGCTAAATTAGTTTGTATTAGGGAGGACGTTTTCCGAAACGGACAGCCCATCTTAACCCACACAGAAGGTTAGGTTAGTTCGCGAACACAGTAAATTCAAAACTAGTGGACGTAGGCCTACTTTATGGATGACCCCCTATGTCTGCTCAAGATACTTTGAAAGGTTTTCAGGCCTTACATTCAGGTAAGGTTAGGACGGGTTGACCATCTTATAAAATACCCGTTCAAATTTTTTAAGTTTTAAGATTTGGTGCTTTGTGTATAATTTACATTCATATATTGTTACTGAAGCGGGGTGAAAAGTTTGCCATTTTCCAAATGGATCCCATTGTCATAATTTGTTCGGAGTATAAAATCTTTCTTCGAGGAGACTAAAATTTGACTTTTGAAAGCACATCCCAGGCTCTGAACCCAGTCGAAGAGTCTTTTTGAGCCTATTTTGGCTGTGTCTTAAAAATTCTTCTTGCGGATACTATTTTGTCGTAACCAGTTGACCTTGACATTTTTCACTTCTTCGATTCATTTTCAAAAGACTCCAGCATGCATAGCTCAAAATTTCCATTACATTATTAATTGTAAGCCTTTTGAGCTGAAAAGTCCCTAAAATTTGTCTGTTTTGTACATTTATGATGAATAATAGTAAAATGCCTGGCTAGAAAACTTTCGAATTAAAGTGTAATGTACATTTTGAGTTGTGCATGCCGGCATCTTTTAAAATTGAATCGAAGAAGTGAAAAATGTCAAGGTCAACCTCTTACGACAAAATAGTATGCGCAAGAAGATTTTTAAAGTTATAGCCTAAATAGGAGAAAAAGGCTCTGCGATTTATTTAAATTTTAATAATTGCTTGGTAAGACACCAAATTTTTAACCAATGTTCACAGTGGGACCTGTTTAGGAGAAAATAGCATTATTACCAGAACCTCCCCTTAAAACGCTTCTTTGTGCTGGTAGCATGATCCTGAATGGCACGGAGCAGTCACTTTTCCATTTTACTAAGTAGACCTAAAGTTTCTTCCACAAGAATTGAGACCAGATCTGAAAAAGTTTGGTAAGCTTCACTTCAACCACCTCTATGGTCCAAACCAAATATGTATACCGGATAGCCAGGGACAGGTGAAAATGTGAAGAAGTTCAGTAAAATTGAATGAAATGAGTTTTGGGTGAAAAATGGTCCTTTGGACCTTCCTCTTTCAGGATCTGTCGGGACTTCGACTATCCGGGACCTGGAAGTCCCTGAAGTACATCTTTTCGTACACTCCTGCATTTTCAACGTTTTAGTAAATTTGCAGTACTTCGGTGCTCAGCGGCGTCAAACTCACAGTGTTTACTGGGGACCAGATCACAGTGAACACCGCGAACAAGATCACAGTGAATCCCGTGAGCAGATCACAGTAAACGCTGTTAATTGACCTACAGTGAAAACTGGTAATAAATTAACGGCATTTACAGGACATTTTTGGTAGAGTGGATCGGCAACCGGAGCTGGCAGACAGGCAGGCGGGGGCCCTTAACGCGCGGGCGCGCGCGGAACAGTGGAATCGAGTCGCCTGACTCACTGCTTGGCGTCTTTTAAGTACTAGCAGGCTGACACACTATTATTCTTCTATGTTTCTGTCTTGATGCCTGCATATGAGAAATCAATCATTTGCTAAAAACTAACGAGTTTTCTCAGTGGTGACATAGTGCCGGGACTATATTGCACGCGCGCAATGTTTTTACTCCTCTGCCGGCGTGCGTGCGCTTGGCCGCGGAGGGACGCGGACACGGCACTTCTTTTCACGCTGAGGAGTGCAGCTCTGTAGAGCTCTACCACCGAATCGACGAGACTGAGGCCTTCTGCAACTCTGAACACAGATTGTGGGGTAAGATGACTATACTGCAATTCTGGGTGTTCCGAAACGGCACGCTAGGCGTACGCCACAGAACACGGTACGCCTAAGACGCATTGAAACGATACGCCTAAGGCGTACCGTTTCTACTCACCTTGAGCAGCAGGTGGCATTTCAACATGATCGATGGGCTTAAACCTCTTAGCTCTCAGATGTGCGTCAGGTCGAGGTGCGTATAATGCACCCATCCTTTGATTCTTTGATGGGCCAAGGACCAAGCCCATGGCCCCAACGGTGTGTACATTCTGCGCACCGGACGTTGAGCATGGCCCGTCATGGGGCCGAGGTGCGGGCATTGTACGCACCCCGCCCGGACCCGAAGCACATCTTAGTAGCCTTGACCGCGGAATGCTATCGGCTCAGATTTATAGAGACAGTGCGCCTTAGGTGTATCGTTTCATTCCGCCAAGAGGCGTAACCGCTTACTGTGGCGTACGCCTGAGGCGTGCCTCTTTGGAACACCCAGGATGACAGCGTATCTGTGAACTACGAGTTCCCTCTTAAAACCTTGAACGACCAACTAGACTGAATTCCAGAAATTGAATAGAGCATTCTAGTCGTCGCCGATCGAAGAACATAAAGAAGAACAAAACCGGAAGCCGGGAAGAAACGGAGTAGGTATCAAGCCCGGTTTCAACGAGAATTGTCGACAAATATTTTTATTTCCTGAGTCAAAAAGTGTTTGAAACAAACGAAAGTGCTTTTGAAAGAGATTCGACACAGAAAACTCAGAAACTAGCCCACTCAGAGACGTTTGGGAGGTTATGTTGCCGGGGCCGGTTCCGGCTTTGTTCTTCTTGTTGTTCTTCGATCGGTGACGACTAGAATACTCTATTACGCTCGTTGAATGCTCTCTGCAACAATGCCTTCCGATTATACAGGGGGCGGCAACGGCCTAGGAAGCGCGTGAAGCCATGCGCGAGTTAGGTGCAGGGGTTACTTATTTTGCTTCGATTGTAAGATCTAGGCCGTTAATTGCAAAACGCTTTGCACAGATCAAAAGAGCACAAAATTTGGGGTGCATTAGGCCTAGTAGACTGCCCGGTACTTCCAATTGAACCGAACACAAGGGCGGAATCATTTACATCAACATGGCGCATTCGAGTTTTTTCCTAAATTTGATGATTTCTCGTGTTTTTCGGGGTTTTCACTGCACCTTAACATCAGGTAAGGGGGGAGTTTCGAGAAGAGCAATACGCCTAATGCACCCTAAATTTCAAGCCCTTTCCATCGGTGCAAAGCGTTTTGAAAAAGACAGTCTAGTTTTCATAATCCCGAACAAGTGCGCAACCTCTTCACTGACGGCGCGAGCATCGCTTCACGCTCTTTCTAGGCGGTTGCCACCCCCTGGATTATAATAGTAAAACAGATGTAAAGACCTAAAATTCACTGATTTAGAGATTTAGAAAATCTCGTTTTTCTTTCGGAGACAGCGGGAAGGCACAATCGGTAGGCAATGCGGACTCACATACGGTCCAAAACATCGAACGGGACATAGGAAACATCTTCATGGCCATAGAGTATTTAATCCCTGGACCGGAAGTCAAAGAACCAAAGTAAGAACCTAAACAGCTTCTGTGCATGCGCAGACGTCCCCCCTCCACTCTGAGGCAGCGTCTGCGCATGCACAGAAGCCGTTACGGTTCTTACTTTTGATCTTTGACTTCCGGTCCAGGGACTCGTTAACTATTTTATTACGAGCTGGAACCCATTATCAATATTGAAATTTCACCCGCCCAAAGAAAATTCACCAGTGGGTGTTTTGGCAGGGGCATATCATATGGTCATCAAAAGTGTTTCTTACGTGCCCCACAATCAGTGTTTTCCAGGTGTTGAGCCCTCTTCCTATCGTGGGGCCCAGGGCGGATGATTGACCCCACGGGCTGATTGATTTATAAACCAGAAACAGAGGTATTTTGCGATAGTGAAGAAGAGAAGGAAGAAGATGCGGCGGTGGGGGTAGAACATAACAAACCCTCATTTATTTAGGCAGTTCGTCTGCTTGCGGGGCGAGGCGGGGGCGGGTGGGGGGCATCATGGCCGCCAAACAAATGAGGGTTTGTGATGTTCTACCCCCACCGCCGCATCTTCTTCTTGCTCTTCTTCACTATCGCTAAATACCTCATTGCTCATTTCACGCGCTCAACCGGGTACTGAAGGAAGGCCGAAACCGGAAGTCGGAAAGCAAGGTAGCAAAGATCGGAATAAGCGCCGGCAAGGTAACATTTCAGGTCTGAACGATAGGGTACTTTCGTAGATCCCTGAACCGGAAGCACACAGACGCCATGTTGGCGGAAGTAGATCCAAACTTGACATGGGAAAGAGACGTTCGTCAAACGTATCGGCCACACTTAAACATAAACAGTCGTTTGATACTTCTTTGCAGCGCATATGTGTATCGCGATCAATATTTGTTCAGCCCGGCTATAGTTTTGAATCCGAAGAGAGGTTAGTTTCCGGCCAATTTGGCGTCTGCTGGTCTGCTTGCTTCCGGTTTAGGATCAACAAAAGTACCCTATTGCGTACCTTCAATAGTTTTCGAAGCGTGTCTCTTTAACGCCGAAATCACCCGCGTTTCCGCTCGACATTAACGAAACGATAATTCGAAACGTCAGGTTTCCGTTGCGTGTGTTACGGTAGGATTTACCGTCGGCTTATGTTACGAAAGACTTGATACGTCACGGAGGAGGCCTCTTACGTCATTTCTAGCGTGTCGGAAGATCCGACAGGATAGGAAATAAGCGACAAAAACGCAAGAATCGATAACAACGTTAGGAATTCTGCGCGCGCAGGACAGATTTCGAGAAACGAAAATAGGTGCGATAAAGGATAACAAAAGTAGAGAAAGACTCCCTTCGCGTCGTCGTCTGAGTTTGAATGTTGCCCTGCACACTTCCGTAAAATAGAGCCTTATTATACGGAGAAAAATTAACGGATGCAGGTGGGGGCAGGGCTTGGATTTTGAGTTTGGGCATAGAAGGGCTCGCTTTAAATGTAGCTCGGCCTTTATGGCTGAAACTTTATAGGCATACAATACAATATTAAGCTAACTAAAGGTGGGGAAGTGGGGTGGGCGGTCATTTCGAACATTCAAATCTCCCAACAGGGTGCTTCGCTTCACTCAGCAATTAATGAAAAGACTGATAGTATGGCCACCTGCTATTGATGAAAATAAGGTCTTCATTTCGCTGGATCCACTCCGATCTCTCGTAAAAAAAAAAAATTGCACCGGAAGTCCGGTCGCGTCGGCCAAACAGAAGCCCATTCAAGCAGTGGTGGCGCCTGCCCTTGGTGAAAGGAGGCTTCTGATGATTGGCCGACGCTACCCGACTTCCGGTGCATTTTTTTCCCCCGAGGAATTGAAGTGGATCCAGCGAAATAGTCCATTGGCTACTCGACAAAAAGTACTACTCTATAGATGAATATATTGATGATAAAAAGCAGGATGTTTCTTTTTACGAATCTGTTTTGTTGTAATGGAAATTCTCTTTGTTAGCAATCTTTCAATGTAATTTAAAGCCTGTTCTACTTTGCAAAACGATTTTGATGTGAATTTAGATCTAATCTAAACGAACCGCGCCTTTAGCTCGTTCGGGCTCGTTTGTGCTGCCTCGTCCGCGGAAGGGGCGGAAGCGAGGTCTGATAGACCACTCTAGTGGTGTGGTGGCTGAGTGAAGAACAAGAAGAATCACATAAAACTTCACTTGGGGCATTTAAGGTGAGGTGTGGGTGAAAATGGAAACTTCTATACCACTTGGCTGTGGTGGTTGAAACTTTAGGGCATTTAAGTACTAGGTAGGTAACTATTTCACACCAAATTGCATCCAAATCTACCCACCCATTTAGCCACGGTAGGCTTTTTTCATTGAAATTAAGCGTTTAGTAGAAAAATCAGCCACGCAAAGTTTTTTGACGGAATGGTCTGAAATTTGTTTTGGAGTTACTTAAACCCCTATACTTCAATGTAACAGAGAGATATTTGAATTTTATTTTTTTGTTTTGACTGAGCTAACTTCACAATTTTTTAATTGGAAAAAATAAGTTTTTTTCTCCATTTTTTACCACTTTAAGGTAAACGATTCAAGAATGTGGATATATATTTGAAATATCTCTCTGTTACATTGTCACATGGACCACAAAGAACTACTCCAAGAAGTATGGTCAGTATAAAACAAAACTGTATGCGTGGCTAGTTGACCGAGTAGAAAAAAAATTTCTTCGACACTTGTCGTAAGAGATGGGTGACCAGAAAAGGCGCATGCATACATCAGTCCATGTTAGATGAACCGCTCACTTAGGGGTTCATGAGAAAGACCTTTAAGACATGCTGTCAGTAATAGAAGAATATTTTACATTAAAATAACAAGTGGATTAAATTTATCATTTTAATCAATTTTGGTGCAAATTTTCACCCACACCTCACCTTAAAGTGCACATATTCGCTCAAAATATGTTTCATTCACTAGTAAATATTTTCATTAACTTCTAACAAGCAAGGAGACCTAAATAATTGACGTAAAAGTGTGAAAAAGTACACTACTCTTGTGATTCTTTTTGTTCTTCACTCGGCCACGTCTAGAATGGTCTATCGATCTGGAGTCCTCCCGTAATTCTACTTTATTAAGTGTGCTTCTCTTTTACCAGGGTCACCATGGATAGCAAACTGTTGAATGATTTGTTTGCTTCCTTGACGGAATACACCCCGAGCGAGTCCGAGATTGCCACTGCGAAGCGGGTCCGGCAGCTGTTTCCGGCGGCGGCGAGCTGCCAACTGATCTTGCAGGATGGGACTGACACGTGGAAGGGGGAGTTCCCCCTTTATTCGGACGCCCGCTCAGCGTCCCTCTTGAGAGACACGTTGCTGCTGGCGAGGGTAGACGGCACTCTGAAAAAGGTGAGCGATACAATTTGAAAAGAATTTTTTCTTTGACGTAAGAAAGTCGGTGAAAGCTGTTTTACTGGGCTCGTTTTTTTTTCTTTGTTCAAATTTCAAAGATATGGCCACATTTGGGTCTCAATTTCTCTATGTTACGGTGAGGTGTGGGTGAAAATTTGCACCAAAATTGATTAAAATAATAAATATAATCCACTTGTTTTTTTAATGTAATATATTTTTCTATTACCGACTGTGTCCCAAAGGTCTTTGTTATGAACCCCTAAGTGAGTGGTTCATCTAACATGGACTGATGTATGCATGCGCCTTTTCTGGTCACCCAACTCTTACGACAAGTGTCAAAGAATTTTTTTTTCTACTCCGTCAACTAGCCACGCATACAGTTTTGTTTTATACTGACCATACTTCTTGGAGTAGTTCTTTGTGGTCCATGTCACAATGTAACAGAGAGATATTTCAAATATCTATCCACTTTCTTAAATCGTTTACCTTCAAGTGGTAAAAAGGAGAAAAGTACTTATTTTTTCCAATTAAAAAATTGTGAAGTCTGCTCAGTCAAAACAAAAAAATAAAATTCAAATATCTCTCTGTTACATAGAAGTATAGGGGTTTAGGTAACTCTAAAACAAATTTCAGACCATTCCATCAAAAAACTTTGCGTGGCTGATTTTTCTACTTAAGGGGAGGTTCTGGTGAAAATCTTGCCATTTTCCAAATGGATCCTACAGTCATAATTTGTTCCGAATATAAAATTTTTCATTAAGGAGACTAAAATTTGACTTTTGAAGGCACATGCCAGGCTGTAAACCCAGTCAAAGAGTCTTTTTGAGCCTATTTTGGCTGTATCTAAAAAAATCTCCTTGCGCATACTATTTTGTCGTAAAAGGTTGACCTTAACATTTTTCACTTCTTCGATTCATTTTCAAAAGATTCCGGCATGCATAGCTCAAAACTTCCATTATACTTATAATTATTAGCTTTTTAAGCTGAAAAGTCCCTAAAATTTGTCTATTTTGTACATTTTTGATCAATTAAAGTGAAATGCTTGATTAGAAAGCTTGCGAATAAAAATGCAATTGACATTTTGAGATGTGCATGCCGGCATTTTTAAAAAATGAATCGAAGAAGTGAAAAATGTCTAAGCCAACCTTTTACGACAAAATAGTATGCGCAAGAAGATTTTTAAAGTTATAGCCTAAATGGGAGAAAAAAGCTCTGCGACTGGGTTCAGGGCATAGAATGTGCCTCCTCAATGAAAAATTTGAATAAATACTTGATAGGACATCAAATTTTTAACAAATTTTCACAGTGGGACCCATTTAGTAGAAAATAGCATTTTCACCAGAACCTCCCCTTAACGCTTAATTTCAATGAAATAAGCCTACTGTGGCTAAATGGGTGGGTAGATTTGGATGAAATTTGGTGTGTAATAGTTTCCTACCTAGTACTTAAACGCCCGAAAGTTTCAACCACCACAGCCAAGTGGTATAGAAGTTTCTATTTTCACCCTCACTTCACCTTGAAATTTGTTGTTGATGTGTTGCTTCACACTTTGCTGTTCACGAAAGTCACACACTAAATGAATTTCATATGACTTGTTTTTGTCTCATGAATGGTGCAATTTCAAGCATTCAACGGTTGTACAATTAAGTTCGCCAGGCGGTACAGATTATCTAATACATGACAGTACAATTTGCCGTACGTGTTGTATTAATTGTGTCGCCAGGTGGAAACAAAATCGTGTTATCATCAGATGTGCTGAAAATTGCATCAGCTGTGGGACAAAAAGAAAGTTCCAGGATAATTCGTGTGTATAGCCTCACTCATTTGCCCACATTCAGTCCAAGCGGCTTTTAAACTTATTTCAGCACATCTGAAAAGTCTCATATGCAGAGGATTGTAACGTCAACTAGGGACCGTACACAAATAACGTCACGCGTTTTTTGACCATTTTTGACCCCCTCCCCCCCTCTCTACTAATGCTAGCTGTCAAGAATTTTAATTTCATCAGAATTTTGACTTAAGTAAAAAATTGCAGGGTTCAAATAAAGTTTAAATATTTTCTGGCAGAGCGTGCGGTGTGCAGTGCAGTAGCGTACCGCCGTCGTTTGCGGAAGAAGGCGACTTCATAGGGGTTATAAGGAAATAACGTCACAAGGGCTCGACACCCTCCCCTCCCCCTCGTCACATCTCATCACGTCCTGGCGAACCCCCATCCCCCTCTAAAAGCGTGACGTTATTTGTGCACGGCCCCCTAGACATTCTTTACATCCTTGGCTGAAATGCAACCAACCGTGGCATAAGCGAAACTAAAAGATCTAATACGTACATGTAAATGGAAATAGTTTTTTCTAATGTCAGTAACCAGAAATTGTAAAATAGTTTTGAAATGTTTTGAAAAGTCCCCATGTCTTATTCATACAATTCATATAATGTATTATGGTCGCACCAAGATAGTGAACATGGCCCAGACCAACAGTTTGACCATTTGACATAGGATACTTTTAAATACCGCTTTGACTGAATGTCAGCCCTTGCCTCATTACTTCGTGTTTTCCCATTACCCATCAAATACTCCATATCAACAATGGATGCTGATAGTGGAACTAAATTAGTAAGAAAGTTAGATCTGCAGTGAGCAGAACCTTCTGTTAATGCACATAAATTACTAATCATGTTCCTTTCCGTGCAGGAGGAGCCCATGGTTGCCGTTGCTGATGGGTCGCAGGGACGCGCCGCTCCCAGCAATGCTGAGGTGAGAATTATTAGTCTTTCAGTCTCACGTTCAAAGGGGGCGCGTAATGGGACTTCAAGTTTCCTTGCTCCGGAAGTCAGTGAAGTGTCTTTGAAGCCCTGAACGCGCTTGGATGATCTTGTGAAGGACTTTACTCCTAAACCTCACCCTCACATGGGTACCTGGGGAAATTTGCAAGTAGGCCTCAAAAACTTCTCCAAAACTGAAAATTTGGCCTTTTATTGGGTATTGGGCCAAGTATGTACCCAAAACCTATGTGTGTATTAAAGACACTCCTCGATTCGCGTGCTCCCCAGCATGCGCTTCGAGGCGTGTACTTATCTAAGCACACGCCTCAAAGTGATTCAACAGTGAGTACTGACTTTGAGGCGTATGCTTTTTAAGTGTGCCAAGTTGATCCAGGAGGCGGCAGTAGGGAATTACTTGACTTATCTCCAAACTGAGATTTTGTTCTTAAAATGGTTTATATCACGACACCAAATTATTAGATTCCAGTGTTAGCAGTTAAAGAGAAAATCCAGATGGAAGAAGGTTACAACTTAAGTTGACTTCTTTTACGCTCTCAATTTAGCGGAAAACGGAATCAACTCAACCAAAGTCAACATGAATGCATAGAAAATATTGTTCATAGGAGAAAGCTCAACTTGTGTCTCTATGAATCTATTGTGAAAAGAATGAAGTCAACTTAACCCCGCATCATTTTGGCTGATCCGGGGAGCGGAAGGAGGGAATAATTTGACTTATCTCCAAATTGAGTTTTCATCGTCTTATTGCACCTCAGGATGGTTTGCATCATGAATCCAAATTATTTGAACAAATTGCTTATAGTTAAGGAGAAAATCCGCATGGGAAATGGATATATCTCAACTTGACCCCTTTTGCGGTCTAAATTTCATCTAAAAATGGAGGTAACTCAACCAAAGTCCACATGGCCCTGTTGCGCAAAATGGCTAAAGGGGATATTTCAGTTTGCGTCTTCGTGAGTCTACTCTTAAAAGTAGCAACTCAACTCCCCCAATTGGAAAAAAGAGGTAACTCTAAAAATGCACCACAGTAATAAAGACTCTACACAGACCTCAGCTCCACTTGAACTGTCTCCAAATCCCACCTCATTTGGGAAAAATAAGTACCGTAAATGCGGGTAATATGGACCACCAGTGGGTAATGTGGACCACCCCTGAAATTTTCTTCTAAATGATCGATTCGAGCCAAGTAACTTTCAAGCCCGAATGCTAGTAACCAAAACGGTTTTCCATGCCACAGGTAGGCGGCATCACCGGTCACGTAAAAGAGTTTAAGGGGTGGTCCACATTACCCACTGGTGGTCCATATTACCCGCTTTCACGGTAAACATGGTTCCGAAGTCCATTCTAACGTAAGGGGAGGTTCTGGTGCTTCTTCGTATGTCAACGAATGTAACACAATGCTCAAAGGAAGGTAGCATTTTGTCACATGCGTTTCAATTTTGTTACACACGTTTCTGGAATGAGTGTGTAGAGTTGCAAAACAGCATAGTATAAAGCGTCACGGTGAAATTAAACTCATTGCCACGTTGCATTTATTTTCAGAGTGGCAGGCTCAAGGTTTCGCTGCGAACTGATGGCGAGGCAGCAGCGCTAGCCCAGCTGCGTGCCGTGCAGGGAAGTCTGTCTAAGCTGACGACCGAGTGCGCCACTGCGGAGGCGCTCAAAGTCATCTGCTCCATGCCGCGTCTGCAGGACCTCACTCTGGACATGCACGATGACGTGGAGGACGGGGCGCCATCCGTGCCGCCGTTGACCCACTCGGGGGGCCTTGTTCGTCTGAAGACGCTCAACGTCGCGCGCGTCACGCTGAAGACCTTGCTCCTGGCCAACAAGCACTCCATCACGGACCTGCACCTGTGCGTCGGGACGCCTGGCGGCGGCCTGGGGTGGCGGGAGGCAGTTGACGACCTCCACTCGATGCTCTCGGCCTGCGGGCTGTCCCAGCTCCGGCTCCTGGCCCTGTACCGCCACTTCCTACAGCACACTGACGATGGCTGCAAGCGACAGCTGCGGGCCTTGCGCAGGGCGCTGCCTCGCGTCGCTCTGGTCTGCATGGACTGCCATCTCAACAAATGATGCCCAACATTTTGAACGTGCGTGGATGTTTTTGAGTATTTGAATTCTACGAGATTTTCCTGGACGAGCCTGTACAGGGCCTGTTTTTAATTTGTTCACGATGCGCCTTATGTTTCAATTTTTGGTTTAGCATTCCACGTCTTTGCCGATCTGTGTTCCCGTTTTATTTGACAAAACTTACGTCACATTTTATTCTTAATAGTATAGAATAGTATAGAATCCTTGAAAATGCTGTTGAAATATAAACGTTCACGATGTCTATTTTTTGTGTCTCAAATTTTCTTTCTCATGAATTTTTCTTTAAAATAAAAATACCATAACGTGCACACTTAACTTCTTACGGATACATCTACTTGAGTTACGGACATATTTGTGCGATCGTAATTACGGATTGATTTTGTTCGTCATACGGATGATAACAAAAAGTTTTTCGTCCGTACCTTACGGATATTTTCGTTCGTATGTTACGGACACGAAAATCTTTAGAAAGAAAGCCGCAAAATGTGGGATATTCGAGTATTTTAAGGTGTTTTCACCTACTCACGTACTCACCTGTACACCTGAACGCATAGTGATTCACCCCTTTTCAAATTGTACACACGCTTAAAACCTAACAAGCAAATTGTGCATCCAACAAACTAATTTACTTTGTTATACGAAGAAATAGTTCGTAAATTACGAAGTATTTTATTTGTAAGCTTATGTATGTTCAATTCAAAATGCTTTTTTACAACGAACTGCTTTTCTTTGTAAGCCCTAAAATTGTATGTAAGGTTTTCTCACTAAAAAATTTTAGTATGAGAAGTTTGCCGCTCGGGGGAGCCCCAACCGACGAGGACCCCGTTCAAAAAACGGAAACATCCAGAATCTGGCCGAAACAGTTCCGAATCGCTTCCGAACGCTCGGGCAGGGGGCGGCAACGGCCTAGGAAGCGCGTGAAGCCATGCGCGAGTAAGGTGCATTGGTTACTTATTTTGCTTCGATTGTAAGATCTAGCCCGTTGATTGCAAAACGCTTTGCACAGATCAAAAGAGCACAAAATTTGGGGTGCATTTAGGCCTAGTAGACTGCCCGATACTTCCAATTCAACCGAACACAAGGGTGGAACCATTTACATCAACATGGCGCATTCGAGTTTTTCCTAAATTTTATGATTTCTCGTGTTTTTAGGTGTTTTCACTGCACCTTAATTGGCTGAGCGATAGCGAAGCCTGTTACTCCAGTGGGGTTGAAAAGTTTTGTCTGTCTGTCTGTCGGTCTGTCTGTGTGTCTGTGTGTCTGTGTGTCTGTGTGTCCGCACTACTCCTCCTGAACGGCTCGGCCGATCTCGGTGAGATTTTGCACACTTCTTGGGTATGTCCTTGGCTCGGCACACGCGAAATTTCACCATCCTAGCTCAACTGGTTCAGTTTTTATAGGCGAAAAACACCTAAAAAACGGCGAAAAATAGAGATTTCTGCAGATAGACCACTTCTGTCTTTGAGAAAGGGGGGTCTGGGGGGCGGAGCCCCCCAGGTACGACAAGTTAAAAAGTGACAAGGGTCAAGATCGTGTTGTCCGTAGGTAAAACAACTCTATTTAGAATGTAGGGGGGTCTGGGGGGCGGAGCCCCCCAGCGTTCAACAAGTCAAAAAATAACCGACAACGGACAAGCCATTGCCTGCCGCAGGCAGGCTAGCGCCGCAGGCCAAGGTAGGTACGCCAGGCGTGGATTGGAGGAACAGGCAGCGAGACATCGCGAAGCCTGTTACGACAAGACGCGGTCTGGCGTAAACCTACCTTGTATCAGGTAAGGTGAGAGTTTGGAGAAGAGCAATTAGCCTAATGCACCCTAAATTTCAAGCCCTTTCCATCGGTGCAAAGCGTTTTGAAGAACACAGTCTAGTTTTCATAATCTCGAACAAGTGCGCAACCTCTGCACTGACGGCGCGAGCATCGCTTCACGCTCTTCCTAGGCCGTTGCCACCCCCTGGCTCGGGGTTCATCCAGAATGCTTCCGAACTGAGGCCTGCGGACGTCGGGGTACTCTCAAAAGCACCCCTGTTTCGGGGGCTGTGTTGTCGGGGCAGTCCGACATCCTTCCGAATGTTCCCGGGCACCCCGAAGTCCTTCCGAGATCACGAACCCCGTCAGTTCGGAAGGATTTCGGGCTACCCCGATGGTCCGTGCATAGTACTCTTCGAACACTGCAAATGCTAAGGCGATACTAAAGTACATTTTTAGGCGATACGATTGAGTATCGCCAACAAACGGCCTTACGGAAAAGTATTGCCGTCAGAACGGCGATAGACATCGCCAAAATCACGGCATTGAACTAAGAACTTGTCCCCTTGATTTGTTCAACGTTTATTGCCAAATCGTGGCAGTACTCCAAAGTATCGCCAAATTTTGGCGATACTTTTGCGTATCGCCGTTTTGAAGGCAATACTTTTCCGTCAGGCCGTTTATGGGCGATACTCAATTGTATCGCCAAAAAAGGTACTAAAAGTATAACCTTTGGATTTACAGTGAAAAATCCAAACTTTCAAATTAAAGGGAGGTTCTTGTGAAAATCTTGCTATTTTCCAAATGGATCCCACTGTCACAATTTGTTCGGAATTTAAAATCTTTCTTTGAGGTGATTAAAATTTGACTTTTGAAGGCACATGCCAGGCTCTGAACCCAGTTGAAGAGTCCTTTTGAGCCTATTTTGGCTGTATCTTAAAAAATCTTCTTGCGCATACTATTTTGTCGTATAAGGTTGACCTTGACATTTTTCACTTCTTCGATTCATTTTCAAAAGATTCCGGCATGCATAGCTCAAAATTTCCATTACATAACAAGGTAGGTTTACGCCAGACCGCGTCTTGTCGTAACAGGCTTCGCGATGTCTCGCTGCCTGCTCCTCCAATCCACGCCTGGCGTACCTACCTTGGCCTGCGGCGCTAGCCTGCCTGCGGCAGGCAATGGCTTGTCCATTGTCGGTTATTTTTTAACTTGTTGAATGCTGGGGGGCTCCGCCCCCCAGACCCCCCTACATTCTAAATAGAGTTGTTTTATCTACAGATAACACGATCTTGACCCTTGTCACTTTTTAACTTGTCGTAGCTGGGGGGCTCCGCCCCCCAGACCCCTCTTTCTCCAAGACAGAAGTAGTCTATCTGTAGAAATCTCTATTTTTCACCGTTTTTTAGGTGTTTTTCGCCTATAAAAACTGAACCAGTTGAGCTAGGATGGTGAAATTTCGCGTGTGCCGAGCCAAGGACATACCCAAGAAGTGTGCAAAATCTCACCGAGATCGGCCGAGCCGTTCAGGAGGAGTAGTGCGGACACACAGACACACAGACAGACAGACAGGAAAAACTTTTCAACCCCAATGGAGTAACAGGCTTCGCTATCGCTCAGCCAACAAGTGCTATCTAAAAATGGATTGCAGATTTGGATCGGACTCGATTTCGACACCCTTAAAGCACTTTTCTCAAGTCTCTTCTCTCTACCCCATGGGAACAACCACGTATCATCCACGTAGAATCCACGTGAGATAGGTGGATAGCATTTTTCTATCTTAAATCCACGTGACTTTCACCTTGATTTAACATCGATTTGGGCTTCTATGGTGGTCCATGGTAAACCAACGTTGACTCTACGTGGATAGTCCAACGGATTTTAGGGACGTTGTGTCTACGTCGATAATACGGTGACCTTGTGACGAGTATCCAGAGCGGTCCTATCGATATCAATGGTATGTGGATTGAGCGCCTTAACTTTTCTACACGATTTCAATGTTGATCACACGTATCCAAATTCATTGAAGCATGGTCGTCTGACGATACCGGATTCATCGCAGAGGATTCAGACTTCCACGTGGATTCAACGAAGATTATGTGAGGACTGTGGAACTTGATTAGTTTTGAAAGCTGCCGACAGAGGGCCTGCTGATATTCTTGTCTTTCCTTACCCTCTCGACCTGCAAGTAGGATGCCAATTCACCATGTCCTAGAGCCATACTACCATGCTCGTCGGACAACCTAAGTGGACTTGACGTGGACTTCATAGGAATTGTCTCGATCGTATGATTTTTAGACGTCCTCACGGTAATCAACCTCGAGAGGACTTTATAAAATGAATGCAGGGTACGTTAAGACATAGATTTCACATCGATTATCGACTCATTCGAATTATGCTTCACCAAGCTCAGAATGACCGGTACGCGCCTCGATGTAAAATCGATGGTAGGTGGATAAGGCGAGTTGCTGAATCCACGTTGCATCCACGTAGTTTGACTTGGACGTTTCTACTCGATTGTCAAGTCGACCATCCACGTCGATTCCACGTGAAAAGTTACGTTGCGTCCACGTCTCATCCACGTGGATGTTCCTATGGGGTACCAATATAATCTCAATCAAAGTTTGTACTGAGCATTGGTTAGCTGCCTCCTTAGCCCTCACTCCTAGTAGTCCTGGCTTCCACCCCACCACGAACCATTCTTTTCGGAACGATTCCAGTAGGGGCCCGACGCCGGAACCCCGGCGGTATCTTTCCGAAACGAGACTGACGTCGGGGTACATCCAGAAACTTGCGGATCTTGGTCATTTTTGGGTAAAATTCGGAAGACCCCGTCGGAAGCGGTTCGGGGTCATCTGATCGGGGAACACCCGAAGTCATTCCGACCTTCGGAACGATTTCGGGTGTTTTCATTTTTAAACGGGACAGGGTTCACGCTTCTCTCCCACTATAAGACTCTGGGATGGCTTACCTTTGCCTGGTTCTATGGGTAAACTTTGGTCAATTTTGGGAAAGTTAGTTGGAAGTAATAATCCTCCGTTCATAACTGCCATTTATTGTGGATCCGAAGATCTCACTGATGTGGATCTTTATCTTGGAGACTTTGTTCTCGAAGTGCATGATTTGCAGCAAAATGGTTATGAGTGCAATGGGCAGGTTCACAACGTGGGATTGAGGCACTTCATTCTTGATGCTCCTGCTAGGTCCTTTGTCAAGTGCTGTATTGGCCATGGTGGCTACGGTGCATGTGAGAAGTGCACTGTGGTGGGTGTTTATGAGGATGGCAGATTTAACTACTCTCATTTAGGTGCAGACTGCAGGCCTCGTACAGATGAATCTTATGCAAATCAGGAGGACCGCCCGCATCACACCGGTATCTCTCCTCTACAACTCCTTCGTATCGGCCTTGTGAGCCTATTTCGACTCGATACTTTACATCTTGTCTACAAGAGAGTTCTTTTGAGATACCTTGAAGCGCTTGTCTCATGGGAAGGGTACTGGAATCCCAATGCTGACACTGTGAATGCAATTTCAACAAGAATGCTAGCCTTGATTCCCAGCTGCCCTTGGGGCTTTAAAGTAGTTCGGCAGGTTCGTTGATTACGTTAAAAAAGGCTGATTTTAACTGTCTGCACTCATTAAAGCATTCTCTTTAATTACCGGACTAATTTTTTAGAAAATCGCATTCAAAGTCGGCGTTTTGACATGGCGCCTTACGGGGGAGCATGCCTGCAACCCGCACAACACGAAAAAAGTCCGTTTTCTAGGCCAACAACCAGCAGACCTGCAACGCATGTGACGACTGATGTGACAACTAGTGACGACAGGGTGGCCTACCTTGCCCCTGGAGAGTGCGACAGGCAGCGCGCTCTGGGCGGTCGGGCCAGTACTACACCCTAACAACCCGCCGTGATATTTTACAGGTGGGGGTGGGTGTTGTAAGTTATTGTTGCACGGCAGGGTAGGGGATGTTTCAGGCGTTTCAGTCAACATTTGGGTAAACATACATGTTTGAGTTCTCTTTGACAGTCTTATAGTGGTTTTGTACTTGTTCTCAACCGATTTTGCTTTCGAGTTAAAGAAGATACTTTTCTTTAGCTAAAGCCATAAGAAAAGTATCTTCTTGGTATGCCTTCAGATTAATGCCAAAATGCCGTTAAAGCGTGCTGTCAAGTCTGCTGGAAAGCATAAATGAAAGTATCTACTTTAACTATAGCTATATGTAAAAACAAGGTAGGTTTACGCCAGACCGCGTCTTGTCGTAACAGGCTTCGCGATGTCTCGCGGCCTGTTCCTCCAATCCGCGCCTGGCGTACCTACCTCGGCCTGCGGCGCTCGCCGACCGCCCAGAGCGCGCTGCCTGTCGCACTCTCCAGGGGCAAGGTAGGCCACCTTGTCGTCACTAGTTGTCACATCAGTCGTCACATGCGTTGCAGGTCTGCTGGTTGTTGGCCTACCTGACAGGCACTTGGGTCCCCTGACCTTAGAAAAGCGACCCGGAAGCTTGATTTGAGCCGAAAACACCTAAGAGAGCGTCCAGTGTGGTATCGAGTGCGGCCGTCACTACAATTTGGTAAAATACGTGGTTGCAGGGGTTCACGAGAATGGCTCGTTCTCGGGAACGAAGCCAAACACATTTTTTGGTTAACATTTTCGTTTAGGGAAGGGTTTAAGCTATCTTTTAAGCCCAGATTGGTCAAAATCATTTGAGGATCTAGGAAACGGCGCTAATTTTAAAACTTAACTAAAGTTTTGAAGTTATAAAAAGTTTTTGGACATAAAAACTTGAAAGACAAAAAAGACTCGGTTTTCATCCTCTTTCCAAATCTGGTCTTGGATTTGACCTACGACCAATGGTTGCTGAGATATTGCCCCCCAAAGTTGCGTTGTTTCAATATTTAGCAAAAAAGTAAATTGGCCATAGCCCAGCCCCTGGGGGGCCGGACCCCAAACCAAGTACTGATTATTTCATGGGACCATAGGGGTAACAAACCCTGAAAACGAGAACCGGATCGGAGCCCAGGGTGGCTAAGGTCTGGTTGACTTCACATGGAATGTCCCTCTTGCCGTGGCCCGGCAGGAGAGGCCAGGCAGAGAGGGTCAAGGAGGGAGGGGGTGGCTGTGAGGAGTGGGGACTGGCGAGGCGGCGCGGCGTGGCGGCGCAGGGGTGGGATCGAGGAGCTCTCGGGAGAGTTTTTCGTGGAGGGAGAAACTCTCCGCCCGACATACACAAGGCTGTGGAGCGAGGGAGCGTAGCGGCGCGAGAGAGAAAAGCAAAGGTACCGTCCACGAGGGTAACTTGGGACACTTTTTCCACGTTTTTTGAACGTCAGAAGCAAGATTCTCAACCCAGACCATTGGATCCTAACTATGTTAAAGTTTGACCCTTTCCCCATGATTTCATGCTTGTCTGGTTCATTTGTCTCGATTACATATCGTTTCCAAGCGGTCTCGAAAGAGTGTCCCAAGTTACCCCATGACCGGGGGTAACTTGGGACAGTAGGTAATTAGCTATATTCCCATGCATCTATTGATGTTAATGGATTTTGCAAATTTTGTAGCGGGGCATTTTGTTGAGGGGCATTATTAACAGGAATGTTAAACGCCATTTGGTCAACCTGAATAAAAAAATCAAAGAAAATTAAGGGGCAAGGATCATTTAAAAATTAAAGAAAATTAAATTCAATCTGCCGTACATACCTCCAAGGTAGACCGGCTCAAATTTCCCGAAGGTTCGAAATGTCGATGCGCGGAAACGGAATTCGGTTCCTTTCCGAATTCTAAGACTCTGAGCATTTTTTGGGATTTTTGAGGTCACCGGAAGTGGTCCCGCACGGCAGGGTAAGTTAGGCGCACTGCTAATACATAGACCAGCAGTAAAGCGGCTTTAATATTCATTTTACGGGCATATTCCATGAAACAAAAGTTGTCAGAAATGGTCAAATTAATTAAAAATATGAAATGTATGATTTCCAAAACTCAAAATTTGCAATCTGGGTGCCTATCTGTAAGGGGTAACTGGCGTCTATTTTAGCTCGGAGCCTCAAAATGAAGTGGATCAAGGCGTAAAACTGTTCGACAGTCGATTTGGCCCTTCTGGTGGTGCTATTTTTAGTGCCCAATCCTCTTCTGGTCCAACGGATTAATTGGGGGCCTTAACGAGTATTGTCTTGTTTGCGTTTGGGCGCCAGGATTGTGGCTAAGCTCGGTTTCTTCTCGTTTTACTCTGTGATTTCCGAAGATTCGATACCTGACATAGTATTAGCGCGGAAACTAGGAAAAAGCCACACTGCGAAGGGCTGGAGCGTGGTGATCCGGGGCACTGCGAGGAAAGTCTTCAAAACCGAAGGCAAGACTGTTTGTTTTTGAGTGTGGGATGGGAGAGTCACGTAAGTGTCGTTTCATATTAAAGCTAGTATACATCTATTGGAGCAATTCGTCAATCACACTAAATTACTATGTAGGTTTTTCTGCGCGCTAATGCACGAAATTGTACATGCACTTCGTAACGCACGAATTTGTGCGCGACAATGCACGATTTCCTGCATACTTGCGCACGAAATCGTGCATTGTCGCGCACAAATTCGTGCGTTACGAAGTGCATGTACAATTTCGTGCATTAGCGCGCAGAAAAACCTACATAGTAATTTAGTGTGATGAACACTGCTCTACCTGGGAGTAAGGTGTGAGCTCAGGAACAGTCTGCCACATCAAAATTTGAGACTTCCATATCAGTACGTAAAGAGTAACGCGCCAAGCGAGTTTTTACGACGGTTTTTGATGAGAAGGGTAACGAAAAGCTCGTCCTATTCTGAATCTTCTTGGCAAGTCATCAGAATACGCACTCTTCGGAGTGTAGTACTCAATGCAACACACTTACAATAGAAAGCACTCAGTTGTGCCGTGGGAGTATACTCAAATGAGTTCAGGCTCGTGGCGATCAATCTATTAATCGAAATAAAAGCTTCCGAGTAGGATGAATCTCTAAGACTAAAGGAAGCTCTCGCGAAATGGGTTTTGACCTGGTCCATGCGAATGTGCATTGGTGAAGCAAAGTTATCAAATCGCTTACTTTCATCACAACATTTCAGTAAAGATCGGTTGGAGATAGGGAATGGTGAAGCACAATGAAAGTAATCTTGTTCAGAATTGTATTTTAGACTTCAAAGGCTAAAGGCCTGTCCGTCCGGAGTTGTCTTCTCCGTTCTCGCGCTTTTAATATCTCCGCGATTGAATATTCCAAAAGCACCGAGTAAAACAAAAAGAAAACGAGCTATTAGCCACAAACCGGGCGCCCAAGCGCAAACAGGACAATATTCTCAAAGGCCCCCAAATATTCCGTTATACCAGAAGAAGATTGGGCACTCAAAATAGCACCACCAGAAGGGTCAAATTGATTGTCGAACAGTTTTACGCCTTAATCCACTTCATTTTGAGGTTCCGAGCTAAAATAGGCGCCAGTTACCCCTCACAGGTAGGCACCCAGATTGCAAATTTTGAGTTTTGGAAATCAGACATTTCATATTTTTATTAATTTGACCATTTCTGACAACTTTTGTTTCATGGAATATGCCCGTAAAATGAATATTAAGGCCGCTTTACAGCTGGTCTACGAATTAGCAGTGCGCCTAACTTACCCTGCCGTGCGGGACCACTTCCGGTGACCTCAAAAATCCCCAAAAATTCCCAGAGTCTTAGAATCCGGAAAGGAACCGAATTCCGTTTCCGCGCATCGACATTTCGAACCTTCGGGAAATTTGAGCCGGTCTACCTCCAAGGGGTCAACAACCTGGGTGAACCCAACAACTCTTGTAAATCCGCCCATGCACGCCAAAACCCTCCTCTCATAAGACGTCATAAGGAGCATAGAGCTCCCCCCACCAGTGCCTCGCCCAAGAAACTGGTTTATTTGAGCCTGCTCTTCACAGCTTTTCTTTGATCATTCCAAAACTGAACAAAGAAATCACACTAATAAGTGGTAACTGTAAATGTGACCAACTTAAAATTATAAGGACTTCTTACCCTTTGCCATTGATCCGGGGTCTTTCTTGCTCCATTCGGTACATTGTTAGGCATTCCTGATAGCAAATTCTACTTCTGACGAAGCTCGAGGAGTCCTTGGGCACCTCGAAACTCACGTTGGCAGAAGGCAGGATTCCTTTCCATGTACGATACGAGGAATATCTTTTGCTCCTCTGTTCCACGCACAGCCTGAGCCATCTGACGAACAAAAAGCAAGAGGTAAAAACACTTTAAACTGAGCTTCTAGCGCACTGCAAACCAAAGGATTTTTAAAAAACATATTTTGCCCACAAGCCACAACATGGTGTTCGATGAGGAAATAAGTGCGGACCATAAGGGCAAAATTCGCAACATCACACAATTACTGACTTTACAGTGAAGTTTACGAGAACCCATAACCTAGCTATTTGGCAACGTTTCCAAGGAAAATACAAACAGCAATTATACTCAATAGAAACGCTTGTTGACGAGCATTTCTTTAACAGCATAGAACGTAAGAACAGGTTTTCAGTACAATGGAAAGGTAGAAGACTGAGATGCAATGCGGACGAAACTAGGCCAGTACGAACGAGCACACTAAGTCACTAAAGGTAAAAATTCACGCTCAAATTTTATTATATCGGATAATCATTTTCAACAAGACGCTGTGATTGTAAAAAATCACGTCTACTTGTCAACTTTCTATCACTTCCAATGGCCTAGGCTTGCCTTGGCGCTTCACCGCGTCAATACCGCGCGTCGGTGGAGTAGGTTAGGAACCACACGTAACCTTGCTATTTACGCAGCGCTTAGAGTTAATCACAATAAAAGCTTGTCAAAAGTGTCTTGGACAAAATGCGCGAAGTTGTTATTATCAAACATGTTCAAGTCTCAAGTCAAAAGACTAGGATGCCGAGATGCGATCGAGATGCGATCCGAACAAAACTTGACAGTTATCCGAAAATACTAAATAATTAAAAGAGTCATCACACGCTTACCTTAGAAAGTCTTAATCCGTATTTCGGTATTAATCAAAATCGAATACGCTACACTCGGTTAAGTTTACTTCGCTTCGCTGAAATCTCTCCTCTCGCACCAAGGCAACGCTCGTTCCCGCCTTCGCCTGCCGCCTTTACCACCACCGCCTTGTGTATGTCGGGCGGAGAGTTTCTCCCTACGGAGAACTCTCCCGAGAGCTCCCCGATCCCACCGCAGGACGACGACGGACGACAGACGACCAACACGACCATGCAGTCCCCTCCGAGCGCGCTGAATGGATGGATGGGATAGGATGAGAGGGATCGGATGCAGAGCTAGAAGCGGTAGCAAGACCGCTTAAAAGAGAGGTTGCGACACTACTTATGGCATAGTTCTTAAGAAGCATCTGAGTAGTGTAGAAGTCAAGTGGGCCCCTTTTCAAGCAATGCAGTATCTCAAAGCTGGACATTGGCCGCAAGGCTTTGTCTCTGGGGCTAATTCTTCGGGAAACTCTTCCAAATTCTTCCAAAATCTCTTCAAGTTCTTCCATGGCTCGCCCCGACTGCAGCCATCCGCCCAGGGGATAGGCAGCCCATCGCACGCCTCATGCTCGCCTCGCTGACGGACCCTCCACGGCCCGCGGTCGGGGGCGGGGGAGGGGGAGGGCGGGCTGAGCGGAGTGGGGACTGCGGCAGGTGCGCGCGGAGCGAAGAAATGAAATGAGGGTAATAAATAAATCTCTGCCCCGTCGAGAAAATTAAGTACGAGGGGAAGAACGGCCGGAAAGAAGCACGGGGAACAACTGACAGGGGAACAACTGTGCGATACACCCCACAGTTTTGTGTAATTTTGCTTACATTTTGTACAAAAAAATTCCAGCCTGAAAATGCGAATAAAATCAAGCGTCAACTTTTCGGGTGTGCACTGCCAGAAAATTCCGAAAAAAAAATGGAAAAATCACGGAGTTTTTCCGAAACTTCTGCATGGAGCTCTCCAGTAATGCAAATTCTGGGCTTTCTCCGAAAAAATTCGGAATTTTGAACAAAAATGCACGCTTCACTATCACAAAAAAACACGAAGAAAAGGTTTGCAACCAGTTAAAATTTGGGGGAAAGGTGAACCCCTACTTCTTGAGCTCAGTTTTCATAATATTAAGGGAAAGCTACAGGATATAAGTGAAATGAGCTCGAATGAGATTGTCCCTTCTTTGACCATTTCAGACCAAAAAATGCTTCAGCGAAGTCCTCTTTAATTGGCTGAGCGATAGCGAAGCCTGTTACTCCAGTGGGGTTGAAAAATATTTCCTGTCTGTCTGTCTGTGTGTCTGTGTGTGTACACTACTCCTCCTGAACGGCTCGGCCGATGTACAAGTCCCGGACCCAGCAGGCAGTTTAGTGGGCCAGAGCACTTGTCAGGGATGTAGCTCTCTGATGGTCAGGGGGTTACTCGGGAGTGAGGGTTGTAGAATAAGGAAAGAGTCCGGTTACCTTGATACAAGCTCTCAGCACTCCCGACACTTGGGTTGGTCTTGGCCGCTGGCAGGCCCCACACCGACTGCCGAGCCCCGGCACGGCTCGCCAGTCGGTTCCCTACCTTCCCGAGCATCTGCCTTCGCTTGCACTTTTCGGCTGGGCGGTCCCCGCGTGACCACCGTCACATCACCCCCAACCGAAAAAGCGTGCGACCCCGCACGCCCAGCCACCCCCCCACGGACAGGTGCAGCTGGCATGCAGGGCCAAAAGTTACTGAATTTAAAGCGTAAAGCCGAAAAAAGAAGAACGAACTAAAGTGGAGATGCCCGGGAAGCGACTCGAAAAATTAAATACAAAATCGAAACGCGAAATGGAGATTTGAAATTGAAGGCCAAAATGGCGAATGGACTAAAGTTAACTTGACTGAACGAATTTACCCTTCGGGGCGAGCCAGTTAGCTGGACAGCCCTATGCTGCGGAAAAACATTGCGAAAATTGTTGAAAAATTTAAACATTGAAAACTGAGACTTTGGAAATTTCTATGCGACTATGAGCTGGATGCCAGCTAGGATGAGTGCAATGTTTTCCCGAACCATAGAACCGCCCCAGACGCAAATCAAGTGTTGGTGGTGTAAATGGGACAGAGCAATTTTTTATTTAATTTGGTGCCAAAGAATGAAGAAATTTTAGATGGAAAAATAGAAAGAGAAGTCGTCGGCGGAGCTGCGATGCGACGTCCACGGGAGTGTTCTGCGAAGACGCGCCATCAACGGAGAGGCGCGGCGCCCGCGTCTCGACGCCGGCAGAAGGCGGGCGCCGCGTCTATCGCGGTCCAGGCAGTCGTCCCCGGGGGCGTCGGCCGCTGGAAGGTGGAGTTGAAGGCCACGGCTGCGTTCTTGGGGACGTCCCGGACGATCAGATGGAGAGACCGCCACGGCGCGCTCGTTGTGGTGCGCGCCCGCACGGCTGCGCTCATGGGGGCGTCCCGGGCGATCGGATGGAGAGACCGCCACGGCGCGCTCGTGGTGGCGCACGCCCGAAGGTGGAGTCCAGCCCCCTGGCGGCGCCCTTGGTGACAGCCCGTCGCACGATCGCCCCTTGCTGCCTCGGTGCCTGCCCCGCTGGTGTCTGGGCAGGGCGTCGGTGGGTGTTCCTGCCAGGGCGGCGACCGCTGTAACACAGGCAACCGGACAGGGAGGGACGAAGGTGCGGTCCAAGGGGTCAGGGATGTTCGTGACCCCGTAGACCATCAGGGGCAATAGAGGGCTGAGCCAAAGTTAGTACAAAGAGACCGAGCGGGCAAGAAAGACAGAGAGCGCGGGGTGGCCGCAGGGCAGGCTCTTCTTCTCGCCGCACCGGCACAAGGGCCGGGTCCGGCCTCGGCTGCGGCCACCTAAACGGGTGTGGCAGACCAAAACCTCGTCGCGCTGCTGGCCGTCAGCCTCCAAGGCGTCGATGATCGGCGCCAGCGTTGGTTCCAGGCGCTGCTCGTGGGCCACGAACTGGTCGAGCTCCGCCCCTGCAGGAACCGCCACCACAGCAAGGCCACCCGGCACTGGGTCAGTCGGCGCCGGCCCGTCTGGGGCCTGCACTGCGACAGCACTGGCCTCGGGTGACCGCGTGGACGGAGGCGTCGACCTCCGACTCAAAAAGACTCGCCGTGAGCTGACTGAGGGTGTCAGCGACGACCTGCTGCTGCCTCTGCTCGCTGGCGTTGCACGCTGACGCAGGCAGAAGTGCAGCGCTAGCCGCGTGGGCTGGCGGCAGTCGCGGTGCACTGGGCAAGGGCCTTCCGGGTCTGGGTGCGGTGCTCGCTGACTCGGCGGGCAAGCGGGCGTTGGCCCCGCCATGGGCCACGCGGAGGACGGAGGCCACGGGGTCAACGTGCAAGAGGCGTCCTTCCGAGAGGGAGGACGGTTGTTCCAGGCTGGACGCACGGCATAGGCGGCCCATGCCCACGGGGTGACGGTCAGCTTCTCCAGGTGACGTCGCACAAGGCGGCGTTATCGAAGTCCTCCCACTGCGGGATGGCGATGAAGGGGCCGTCGGTGACGTCCTCGCCGCTGGCCGCGGACGAGGGCCCAGGCCCGTCCTGGGGAATCTCGGGCTAGTTCGCTGAGAGGTGGGTCGAAGCCTTGAGCCATATGATGGTGGTGCGATCGCGGGGAAGACGCGCTTCGTTTTGTGGGGTTGAGGGCAAGTCGAGAAATAGACGAAGAGGCCGGAGCGCGACGAGACCAGGATAAAAGGAGAGAGAAAAGAGAGAGTGTGACGCTAAAGGTGCTAGAACAGACTAAGACTAAAACTGAAACTAAAGCACGGTGGTGCGGCTTAACCTAAGAAGTGCCCAATCGGCCACCGGCCTGCGGGCTTATCGCGAACACACAGGCGCGGCGCAGGCTTAACCTAAGGAGTGCCTAAATACTAAGACTAAAATTAGACTAAAACAATGAAGTGAAAACTAAAGCACGACTCGGTGCGGCTTAACCTAAAGAGTGCCCAATTAGCCTCCGGCCTGTCGGCTTTTCGCGAACACACAGGCGCGGCGCGGGCTTAACCTAAGAAGTGCCTAAAAACTAAGACTAAAATTAAACTAAAACAATGAAGTAAAAAATAAAGCACGACTCGGTGCGGCTTAACCTAAAGAGTGCCCAATTAGCCTCCGGCCTGTCGGCTTTTCGCGAACACACAGGCGCGGCGCGGGCTTAACCTAAGAAGTGCCTAAAAACTAAGACTAAAATTAAACTAAAACAATGAAGTAAAAACTAA